CCATTGACCTTCCGCGGATGGGGCCCTTGGCCCCCCCGCATCAGGAGGATGAGGGCGCTGAAGGCCGCTAGAGCGGGCGCCGCTGGAGCGCGCGCGCACGGTCGGGCGGGCGACTGTGGACCCGACCGCGACGTACCAAACGAGCGTCATCTTCCCATTCTTCGTCGTCGTCGTCGGCGCGATACTTGCGTCTCCAGGACTGGCGGCTTGCCGATCGCTCCTGGCGGCTCATGGAGCGGTCCGAATCTACAGATGCGTCTTGAAATCCTTCATCGAGGCCGAGCTCGTACTGAGTACGCTCAGACAGGTCGCTAATATCTCGCGGGCTTCCCCGCAAAAGATCGCCACCACTAAATTCCATGTTTGTCGGGTAGCTAATAAACCGGGGATGAAGCATCAACTGTATTTCCTCCTCTGTTGCAGGACTAGTGGTTTCTGAATCCGCGGGCGCCCCCGCCATTTCGTCATCTCCTTCGGCGGGCACGTGGAAGTTCTCGACAAATGCAACATTAGCAGGTTGCCCCGCGATGGGTATGCCCAGCCAGTCTGCCAGAACAATATCATTGTGGCCAGCGAATACCCCCTCGGACAGCACGTCGGCATAATTCTCGACGGACATGCTGGCACTCAAATATCTGGCAGCCATGAAGTTAACAACTGCACCTGAGCTATCGGCAGGGTCGGCTGAAAGTGACCCCCAATCAACATACTGTATATCCGAGTCAGTTTGAGCCAGATGTATCGACGGACCCCTGCATCTCCGATCGCCCCGAGGGCATTCGCGGCGAAAGTGATGTTTGCTATGGCATATGTCGCACTCCATAGTTTTGCCGCTGGCATCCTTCGGGTTTCCCCGACGTCCCATACCTTTTCCTGATGTATGCCTGCGATTCCTGCCTGCACCTCATAATATTTTCATATTGCGGTCAGGTAAGCGAAGCTAGGAATGCTAACATGCCTCTGCCATGCAATCGCCGACGCTTACCTTTACCCTTACCTCGACCCTTGCCTTTTCCCTTGAGTGCCCGTCGGGCGATACGCCGCACCTTGCGAACAAGCTTCTTCATAAATCGCCTCCACCTGCGTTTATGTTTCTGGTATGCTAAGAAAAACCATTGCGCCTATTGCTCTTCCGTGAGGTACGTAGGCATATCGGAGTAGTCAAGGGCTGTGACCTCGTCGCCCGAAGACGCGTCGGCGTCGGTGCCGGAGTCGAAGCCGGACTCGGCAGGTTGCCCCGCTGAGCCCATTAGGGCTGTGGCTTGCGCAGGGGGTACCGCGTCGGGCGGCCCCCGAAACCTGGGCCAGTAGTCTTGCGACCGAGGCCGATCCGCAATTCTGAGCCAGTAGTGTTGTGGTCTGAGTTTGTTGTGGATCGCCATTCCAGACGTTATTAGCAGGTTGCCCTGCGTTTGCCTCAGCGTGGAAGGTCTCGGTTCGGTGACCGTGACTGAAAATGCCACCAATCTTGCCAGGGGCTCTCTCAGCCATGCGTGCATATGACCTCGCGCGTTCAAGTCGAGAGTCAGACTGTTGCTGGTCTCTCGGCATGTGGTGGTTCAGTGGCTGCAGGAGTTGCCGTGCGCGCGATGTCCCCGCTCCAAAGGCTCTGAATAGAATAACTGCTAAAATTTGTCATTTGGGGGCGTTAAAGCCTGCCGTGTCAGCTTCTTCGCGGGCTATCTCGAAGCGTGCCAACGTCTGGTCAATCCGTTCTCCCGCATGGGCTCGGAAATCGATGAAAGCTGCACCAGAGTTGAGTTGGCGTTCCTCTTCTAGATTCTCGGAACATCGTGCTCGAGAGGAACATGATGTGGGTGGCGCCGTCGGTATGGCGGCCATCTACGTTATAACTGCTGGGGAACTCTCACGGCCATGGTCCGCGCGAGGCCCCCCAAACCTCGCTGCCTGGCTGCAGCTTGTTGGGAGGGCGCCATGTTGCCTGGTCACGCTGATCCGGGCATGTACCTCGCGGACGAATTCGCGGAAAGGTACTCGGCCAGCTGGGCCCCAAATGGGGCCGGTCGTTCTTGCGTCGCCTCCGCCGCGCACGCGCCCCACCGCGCGCCCGATGGCGATGCACGTGGACCCAAAGATAGCGATGCCAATCTAGTGGCCTCGCAAGTCGCGGTCGGATGTAGTCGGCTGGGGCGTTCGATGCGCGGCCGCAAGCCCGCGTGGGGGCGGAGGCGGCGCAACGTCGCATCGCATGTTCCCCACCCAGGCTCTGCCTAGAAGGGTTCTTACCCTGAGGCTCAAAGGGCCGGGCAGTGAAATTCGCCCCGGGCGGTTCCCCCAGCGCCCGCCCCGCGGTTCCCCCAGTGACCTTCCCGTGGCTTCGCGTTGCTTATCTCATCTTAGCTTCGCTTATTCCATCTTACCTTAGCTTAGCTTCATCTCAAATCAGTTTTTATCTTAGCTCACCTTCATCTTAGCTTCGCTGAGCTTTAGCATAGCAGAGCACGGCATCGCATAGCATAGCGCAGCATCGTATATCAAA